ACAGACACCACCGATATATTAAGCCCGATTATATGAAGCGGAATATCATTATAAAAGCGGATTATTATTATTATTAGAGAACCTGCCTCTAATTTTGCAGATTAACATAACAATACACATAAAATTTACGAGATATTTACAATATTTACCCTATTCCCACTTCCCTGGGGGTACCAATCTATTTTTAAACGGGGGGGGGGGGGGGTAATACGTGTTGTTTTGTTGGTGGGATTGATTTGTATTTTTTAAATTATTTTTTAGAAATAAAATAATACTGACCTGTATAATTTAAATCTTAGAAAGCGATAGAGAGAGGGGGGGAGGGGAGGGGATAGTGAGAGTCAGATAGAGAGAAGGAGAGGAGGGGGAAGTGAGAGTCATGGAGAGATTCGGAGATATATATATATATATATACAGAGAGAGAGAGAGAGAGAGAGAGAGAGAGAAGGAGAAGGAGAGCCAGAAAAAGATGAGCGAAGAGGACAATACAACCCATAAAACAAATGTCAAGAATGATGAGAAACCCAATCAATATATTTATAATTATTTCTAATATTTTGGCGTGAAAGCCAGATATTATAAATATGTGTTTCCCCCTAATAGACATGTTTTTGTAATGTATTCAACTTTAATGCATAACTCCATAGCAAGCCGTTCATGCCGCTGTTCTCTCATTCTGTACTGGCATCCGTCTCTCAAGGGACGTACAAATCATGGTCACATATTAACAGAATTTACATAATTTGATAGTCCATTATTGAAGGGGAAAATATTATATAAAGATCGTGGGGCTCATACTCCACCCTTCTAAATAATAACTAAGCGTGAATAAAGAGTCGTTGGTGTCATCAGTGTGGTTCAGATCCCGGGGTTCAAATAGTTTACGCGGTGAATAAATGGGAAACTGAAACCCGCATGGTCAAGAAAATACAAAAATACAAAAATTAAAAAAATTAAATTAAAAAAAAAAATTAAAACACGAGTACAATGATCACGGTACAAAAATCATCGTATCATTGGTTATCAGATTTCTGTAATAGACAAATGCACTGTTCATAAGTTCGTTTTTTTTTAAATTATACAGATATGCAATGAATAAAAAAACAAAAATGAATACATAGTATTTCAATTATTATGAATAATTCCTGGAAATAAGAAATACCGGTATCGATGTCAAACTTTAATTGCATACATAGCATTATCATACGTAACTCACCCTAGAACAAGTAACGGGAAAGAAACAACTTTGCAATTTTGGTTGAACCTATAAGGTTTGCACCTCGTAAAGATGTACATCATGCCTCAGCGGCTCAGTAGACAAAATAAATACATCAATTATCAACTATGAATTTTATCATCTAAATCAATATAGTTGTAAAATCCCCTTTATACATAAACTGAGTCTGATACTTATAGAATACTCATCAATCCCCCCAAATCTCAACAAAAGAATATATTTAAAATGCCTCCGTACGTTCCACCGTACGGTGAATAAAACATCTCATTATATAATATACAATTATTGAACCGCCTCGTACATTACGACATCATATACACAACATTTCTCATTCTAGGTGATTAAATATCACCAACAACATGCTGGATAAAATATGGAACAAATTCCGTGTTATTATATAGCGGTAATTATGTACTCTGAATATCTATACCAAGCTCCGAAAGTCGTATAATATTATGTAATGTGACTTAAAGCTAAACTTTAGTACTGGTAATGCGATTGCATTGTGAAAGAAAAGGTGTGAAAGGATCAGAAACAGTTGATCATGTAGCATGTAAGTATTGGTGTGCACTGCAAGGTTCTGGAGTCATCAAAATCATAATAAATTTGACCGAGTCTTGGTAAAGTAACAAACACTCACATAGAAAGCTATATATGGGACAACACGCATGGTGTCGGGGATGGTACTACCTTGGTTTCCTTGTCTTTCTATGCTCATTACTCAGCCAGTATACATTTTCTTCCAAAATTGTTTGGCACATGTCATTTATTTGTAATCTTGAACATTCAGTGTAAGTTTCGTTTGATTCTGTGAGAATTAATTTTTTTTTTTTACCAGTACTGGAGTTTATCTTTAATCAATGCCACGCCCCCTCCCCCCAAAAAAGCCGTCTGTATAGACGCAACACAAATCAGGTCAAGTTTTAAAACAAAGCTTTCATGTAATGAGATAACTATCGTATAACATCACTATTCCTATAGTTGCACTGATAGCAAAGTAAAAATCAATATCATGTTCAATTATCTCTACATACCTGTGTATAAACTGTAACAAAATTATACAGGCTACCTTGACAGCTTGAATGACATAGGTACGACCATGGTGAAACTACCGGCTTCGTTTAAAGCCTCACTGTCCTACTTGTAGCTACTTGCTCCCTCTATATAGAAAACTTCCCCAATCGGTGCCTGTTGGTCCCCATGATCCTCTTTTTCTTATGTTAGTTGAGAGCTGAGTTAATGAGATAGCCACCTGTCAGTGACCTCGCTGTGTGGTCTAATCCCTTCTGGCCCAGTAGTGTTGACGGTCTTTAATTTAAGTGGACGAATGTCGGTTATACAAATGCCCATCAGGGCCTTGCCTGACATACCTCCACCGGCTCCACGTCTATCACGTTAATCAAGGGACTACGTTGCCCTTAGAGTAAGTATACAAGGCCCACGTGATTATAAAAGTAATGTAACACGAATGTATAAATTAACCACACCCAAAGTCATAATTGAGAGACTAATGGTGAGAGCAGCCAGTGGCAAGTCCAATGGCCTGCCACAGTTAAGTACAACTTAAAGTCGATCTTATCTTTGTGAAACGCCCCCAGCAGGCGCGTACACAGGGGGGGGGGGCCTTTGGTATTTGTATGTGTGTTAACCCCCCCCCCCCATCACCCCCCTAAAACCCCCCCCCCCCTTTGGATTTTTTTTGGAAAAAATTAAAAAAAAAAAAAAAAATTCCCATGGCTGACTTAAAAAGGTGACCTTACCCCCCCCCCCCACCCCCAAAGGAGCCAAATGTGAAATTTTCAAATTTCGAGACCCCCCAAAAAAGAAAAAGTATCCTCTTGCCCCCCCCCCCCCGTTTTTTTTTCAGCGACTGGCTGAGTCGTTGCGATTTTTTTGGGACCAAAAAAAAAGAAGAAAAAAAGTGTCCTCTCACCCCCCCCCCCCCCCCACCTCCCCCGCTTATTCAGCGGCTGGCTGAGTCGTTGCGAAATTTTCGGCCCGATTTATAAATGTTAACCCCCCCCCCCCCCCTTTCCTTGAAAAAATCCTGCGTACGCGCCTGGCCCCCAGCATCACATTCATTATGCTTTGTCAGGGAGCTACGCAGTGATCTATTGACATAACACTACACTCGCGTAGGCAGTTAAAATAAATGATAATAATATGAAAACTCATATCGGTTACTGAAAGAAAAAAAATTACGGATAATCTTGACAACGTTGGACTATAAATTAAATAATCATCATATATCCCGAAAGCGTAAAATCACTCATCATCAGAAGGTATTAAAGGTACAGTGTCCCATTTGCAGCCAACATCAAATTCTGTAGAAGTTTGCAGGAGTTATGAACATGTCCATTTATCGTATGTCCTATCTGTAAAATGTAAACGTTCGAGTGTACTTTTTAATTCATGATAGGAAACCCGTTTACTTTCTAGATTTCACTGTCAGACAGTTTTGAGTGACTAACTTTTTTGTTGTTGTTGGTGTAATAACATACATGAAATGATCTGTAAAGGGTATACATGAGCATTTGTCTACATCAATAACCCAATTCTTGTAATGGCCAAAATAAACCTGATTGAATCTTTGCGCATCACAAAACATACGACCATTCGGTACATTACTTTAGTGATTGCAACCACTCAAGTCGATTCGACAACTGATTGTCGTTATTTTCCCACTTAAAGACATTTTCAAGCCCTTTCGTTTTGAGGGAAGTTCTAAATTAATATTATCTTTGGCCTGCAAATGGGACATAGTAGGCCTACCTTTAACAAAAAGAAGGGAACTAGATAAAGAAAAAACAGTGAGACAGAGTGGTCTTGTGGATAAGACTGATCGCTTCACAATGCAAAGATATGGGTTCGGTTCCCAGTTTCTCATTTACCCTTATTTTATTTTGTATTTTGTATATAGCCCATGTTAAAAGGGACCCCCCCCCCCCCCCCAACTAAAGAAGAATGTACCCTCTGTGCATAATTGAGTAATGATTACATAACATTCAGGAACAACATTCGTCTCGACGGTTTTAAGAATTTTTGCCAAAATACTTTCTCCGAAGTGGCTACGACGACTCAGGCGTGGCGAGATTTCAATGGGCATGATTTACGATCTGTAATCGGATTGGATGAAAGTTTGCGCGCAGCATGTGACGTCACCAAACTTGACCCAAGAGATACTAGTCTGCCAGTGCATACGCAATTTTGAATTTTTACAAAAACTTAGAAAAGTCGAAATTAACCTGAAAAATGCAGAACTCGTATGTCTGAGTAGCATAATGATGTTTTGTTCTTCTTTTTCAAACAGGGAATAGAAGAGGGGCCGTGCGGGGGGGGGGGGGGAGGAGGGGGAGGGGGGGGGGGGGTCACATCACTTTGGCTTTCAGGTATAGCCCATAGGCGAGGGATTTATTGACTGAATTCATTGATTTAGCTCCGTCTTATCGAGTATTGTTCTTCCCAGGAAGATGACTTAGCAAATAAAATGTTGAAACACTCAGATTTTGGTCGGCCATGCCATTGGATTCGTGTATATAATATTCTCGATTTGACTCAATAATTTTTGTTTATATCTTCTTGATGTATAAATATTGGGAATTTTTAATTTGATATCAAACAGGATAAGAATGTCCATTGCTACCACACATTACAAGCTTACTGTCACAATACAAAACATTGTGACTTCGAAAGTCCAGACTACCCGGATCCCTTATATAGCGAGATTGCGCTCGCTCGATCGCATACACTGTATATAGATTCTACATACTACGGTAATTGCAGCCATTAATAGTTGGTCGACCTTAATAGTTTCATGTACGTGTGGAATAAGTGCAGTCCCAGCTCAGGAGCACGTAAATCTCATATTTTGTGTTGATTTGATTTGAAGGGAAGACTTACATCTCGCCATGTCTACGGAACCGGGAGTAGAGAGTATGTATTTTAAAATTATTGACGAACTAGATATGCGTGTGTTTAGAATAACTATTATAAGGAGTACAATAATTGTGTTTGTGGGCATGCAATCTTGAGTGCACTAGCAGATGACAACTTAACTCCGGGAAGCTCCAACACCGGCGCGGGAAGCTCCAACACCGGCGCCGGTGTTGGAGCTTCCCGGAGTTAATGACAACTCTGATCATTATGTATTGGAGCGCTATAACTAGCAGGCCATGCATGCAGGCAAAGATACAGTAGGTTTTACTTTTCTGCCCTTTGTATGTATTTCAGTAGGCGGCACAGCCTCGTCGTCTGCAAGCATAGACTTTGTTTTGAACATGTGTTTTGTGTGTAAGTTGTTCCAATAGTCAGTCTCTTTTTGTAGTGTAATCAAAATCTAATGTAGATCTAAGACTACATGACTTCATAGTAGTACATGTATGTCTTTGTCGTTCTACTCATCTTGTGTGCTTTTGCTTTATAGTTGCTGGTCGGAGAGTAAATGTTGGACTTTTTCCTACCAATACCAATAAGCTCTTGAGCTTTCGCGGGTATATCCTGTTCAAGCTGACTTAATTTTGATCTGTTATTGAATTGTATGTTGGAAGCTTGGCCATGCAATAAAAATAAATCAATACCAATCACCATGCTTGCTTGTAGGCCTACTGTGTAAATACAGCTTCTGATAGTGGTAGGCAATTTTTTAATTTTTATTAATATTTGCCTTGTTGATGGCCTGAATGGCCTATATGGCACTTGAACTGACAAAACACAAAGTCAGTTCAAAGTCTTCTGATGCATCAAATAAGATAACCAAAAAACAAACACTGATTGAAATCATTTTCTCACAGAATTAGATTGATAGTGATAGGCCTGATAGTGATAATTACAAACCTTTCCATTTCTCTGTGTGTGCCTGTGTATATACTTGTTTTACATTCAAATTTGATATTTTTTTTAAATAAACTGTTCAAAAGGTTAAAGGTACTATGTCCCATTTGCAGGCCTAAAAAATGAAAAAGTTAAATTTCAACTGCATTTGAAAGATAATACTTATTTAGAACTTCCCTAAAAAAGGTGGGGCTTGAAAATGTCTTCAAGTTGGAAAATAATGACTATTAGTTGTCAAATCGACTTTAGGGCTATAGAGCCCAAAAGTAATAGTCTTGATTTTCAGACAATTGTACCGAATGGTCATACATTTTATGCTGCGCAAAGATTCAATCAGTTTAATCTTGGCCATCACAAGAAGTGGGTTACTCTTTTCATGTATGTTATTACCAAAGAAGAAAAAAGGCAGTCAGTCACTCAATAGTGTCTGACAGTGAAGTCTAGTAAGTAAACGGGTTTCCTTGCATAATTTGAATATGAGGACACTGCTAATGTTTAAATTTCACAGATAGGACATACATGACATATTCATAACTCCTGCAAAGTTCTACAGAATTTGAGGTTGGCTGCAAAAGGGACATAGTACCTTTAAAGGCATATTAATACATTGTAGATTAAGACTAAGTCCATGTTTGTTGGTAATTAGATACGGCATGGACCCCAGCAGATCTTGATGATATTTAAATAATGAAGAAAACAAATATCGTACACAGATCTATATGGGCATAGAAATGCTTTTGTAAAGGTGAAATATTTCAAAAAATGTTTGTTGCTGATGATATTTTATATATACAATTAAACACTTCTATGAGCTGTTAGTTGTGTTTGTACATGTAATTATATTGTTCTGGAGTACTGTCATCAGCAAACTGTAAATCTAGCATGTAATTAGTTTGCTACACTATGGCTTTACACACCATGGGAAAGCTACACAATATGACAACAGTCCAATTTCTTTAAAAAAATGAATATATAATATACAATTACAGATTCTTATATGCTGCTTATAAGTATCGGCTTGCATGATGCAACCGTAAGCCTATACTCATCTACTGTATAGCTTCTTAAATGTATGATAAACTGGGGCATCAGGCTGGTTCTGCTTATGTGTCCTTGATCTGCTTTTGTGTCCATTGTGCAAAGACAGCATGAGGCAGTTCGTAATCAAGTACGTGATTGTTGTCCTCCTTCTTCTTCAAGATAATCTGCCTCTTTCAATACTGAAGATTCTTGCATGAGGAAAGAGGACACGTTTATCAAAGTAACCATGGTTTCGTTCATCACGTTAGTGTCAGCTTCACTGTGGCGTAGCTCTATTGTCCATTGGATAGATTGGATAGATTGTAGGCCTACCTTGTAATTTCCTCTGACTTATTTGGTTTTAATGAAAAAATGTAGTCTTGCTCCCAGGCCCATGGGATGATTTTCTCCTGTATCATTCTTCAGTTAATTCTGAATTCAAAATGCCTCCAGCCCTCCAACTAGAAGTATAGATGTAATTTATAACAGTGAGACACCCCCCCCCCCTCGTCCTCCCCTATCAATGTACACATTTGTTGTAAAAGTAGGGAGATTTAATTTGTATACTTTAACAAAGGATTCGTACATCTTTGTCATGATCTAAATTTCTTGTTGGTTTTCTAGTTATGATATATATTCCCCCTCAATTTTCTGTGGATTTTCTGGATTTGAAAGTAAGAGAATTTTTTGTCCAACTGTTCCCTACCCCTAAGATAGATATGATATTGCTATCATTATTTGAGACTCAATACTGTGTGTGACCTTCATTAAAATGTTCATGTACTGTCTGTTTAGAGCAAGATGGGCATTAACTCATTATTTTACACAGGGTTAATACCTTTCTAGCTCAAAAAGAGTATATTTTTATCCCTCATTCAATACAACCATACCTTTCCACACATGAAATTGTGTTCATGCATAATATCAAGGTCATACCTAGTCTGAAGGTCATATCGTCCGGTATAACTGGGCATCATTTATTGTGAGCGTGCACCCCCCCCCCCCCATTTAGTGTTATTTAGGGTACGCATATGCGTGTTCCCAGCACCCCCCCCCCTTTTTTAGCCTAAGTCCGGTGTGTAAAGTCAATATGGGCAGATCTTTTTCTTTATTACGAGCTGGAGATTTTGGGATCATGCATGCGGTCCCTCCGTTCCCGAAGGGGGGGGGGGGGGGGGGACGTGGCGTGCTCTGATGATTGGCCAGCCGTCTATGTCAACTGGCACCTCCAAATAATCAAATGATTATCAGTCCTTATGAATAGTAGATAAAAATGGACATTAGACAAACTTGGAATGAGACCGATGGGAAATTAGACTAAATGAGCAGTACACCAATAGTACGTAGAGTCGTAGACTTATTGGATGTCGAGATAAGACCAAATGGAAATTAGACCACATGGCTATTATCTTAAATGGTCATTAGACCAAATGATAAGTAGACAAAATGATTATTAGACCATGTACTGTAGATAGTAGACGGACTGGGAGTAGACCATATGGGAATAGACTAATTGGGAAGTAGACAACCTGGTAATATAGGCCAAATGGCAATTCACCTTCTAAGTATGTCTGTCTATCTGTCTGTCTGTCCCCATGCAGAGGTGCTAGTAACAGGTGCTTCAGGGTACATAGCCACTCACATCGTGCAACAACTCCAACAAGCAGGGTACAAGGTCAGAGGGACTGTCAGGAGTCTGACCAATCCCAAGAAAGTTGGACCCCTCATCAGCAAACTGTAAATCTATCATCATGCAATTAGTTTGCTACACTAGCTCTGGCTTTACACACCATGGGAAAGCTACACAATATGACAACGGTCCAATTTCTTTAAAAAAATAAATATATAATATATAATTACAGATTCTTATATGCTGCTTATAGTATGGGCTTGCATGATGCAACCGTAAGCCTATACTCATCTACTGTATAGCTTCTTAAATGTATGATAAACTGGGGCATCAGGCTGGTTCTGCTTTTGTGTCCTTGATCTGCTTTTGTGTCCATTGTGCAAGACAGCATGAGGCAGTTCGTAATCAAGAACGTGATTGTTGTCCTCCTTCTTCTTCAAGATAATCTGCCTCTTTCAATACTGAAGATTCTTGCATGAGGAAAGAGGACACGTTTATCAAAGTAACCATGGTTTCATTCATCACGTTAGTGTCAGCTTCACTGTGGCATAGCTCTATTGTCCATTGGATAGCTAGATTGTAGGCCTACCTTGTAATTTCCTCTGACTTATTTGGTTTTAATGAAAAAATGTAGTCTTGCTCCCAGGCCCATGGGATGATTTTCTCCTGTATCATTCTTCAGTTAATTCTGAATTCAAAATGCCTCCAGCTCTCCAACTAGAAGTATAGATGTAATTTATATCTGTGAGACACCCCCCCCCCTATCAATGTACACATTTGTTGTAAAAGTAGGGAGATTTAATTTGTATACTTTAACAAAGGATTCGTACATCTTTGTCATGATCTAAATTTCTTGTTGGTTTTCTAGTTATGATATATATTCCCCCTCAATTTTCTGTGGATTTTCTGGATTTGAAAGTAATTTTTTTTTGTCCAACTGTTCCCTACCCCTAAGATAGATATGATATTGCTATCATTATTTGAGACTCAATACTGTGTGTGACCTTCATTAAAATGTTCATGTACTGTCTGTTTAGAGCAAGATGGGCATTAACTCATTATTCTACACAGGGTTAATACCTTTCTAGCTTAAAATAGAGTATATTTTCATCCATCATTCAATACAATCATACCTCTCCACACTCATGAAATTGTGTTCGTGCATAATATGAAGGTCATGCATACTATCAAGGTCATGCATACTATCAAGGTCATGCATAATACCAAGGTCATGCTCTAGTCTGAAGGTCATATCGTCCAAATATGGTATAACTGGGCATCGGGTATTGTGAGCGTGCACTGATGATTGGCCAGCTGTCTATGTCAACTGGCACCTCCAAATAATCAAATGATTATCAGTCCTTATGAATAGTAGATAAAAATGGACATTAGACAAACTTGGAATGAGACCGATGGGAAATTAGACTAAATGAGCAGTACACCAATAGTACGTAGAGTCGTAGACTTATTGGATGTCGAGATAAGACCAAATGGAAATTAGACCACATGGCTATTATCTTAAATGGTCATTAGACCAAATGATAAGTAGACAAAATGATTATTAGACCATGTACTGTAGATAGTAGACGGACTGGGAGTAGACCATATGGGAATAGACTAATTGGGAAGTAGACAACCTGGTAATATAGGCCAAATGGCAATTCACCTTCTAAGTATGTCTGTCTATCTGTCTGTCTGTCCCCATGCAGAGGTGCTAGTAACAGGTGCTTCAGGGTACATAGCCACTCACATCGTGCAACAACTCCAACAAGCAGGGTACAAGGTCAGAGGGACTGTCAGGAGTCTGACCAATCCCAAGAAAGTTGGACCCCTCAAGGAACTCTGTCCTAACGCAGCTCACGAACTGGAGCTGGTTGAAGCCGACCTTACCAACGAGGCATGCTGGAAAGAGTGAGACTTGGCAGTTTAATTTGAAGACATGACACTGTTCAAAGTGTTTTGGACAGTAAGATAAGGAAAACAGACAATGATGAAATATCCCTCACAAATATGTGATGTTTGTGACCAGTTTTTTAATTTTCTATCCAATATTAATATCAATTTCATTATAAACAGCTCAAGTTATAGAAGTACCTACAGTGTACCTAAATCCTTTCAATGTTAAATACAATCATGGAATAGTGTACTCATGAGCTTACATGAATTTATTTGATAATGTGTAATGATTTGGTTGGAGCACATTGTTATTCATATATTTATGCATCAGACTCTACAGTTTCTTTCGACCTTGTGTACATTATTTCTACCATTATCTATCTGTATTTTTATTTTTTATTTGAAATCAAACCTCAAAGTTTTGGTTGCAATAAAGAAGTGATGATGGCAAGACATTGATCTACATTTGCCACACTCAACCCAGGTGAGGTAAATGGGTACCTTAGTTCCTTGAAATGCTGGAGCGCTGTAATAGCAGCTATAGTCTAAAGCCGGGGTAATAATAAATGCGCCTTGGCATAGAATTTCTATAAAGACGGCGCTATAGAAATGCCTATTATTATTGTTATTATTAATAAAGATATGATGATCAAAATCTGTTTGCTCTATGGCAGTGCTGTCCAGGGGTGTAGTCATGTGATCCACACAGCCAGCCCTTTCCCAGACAAGAGCCCTAAGGATGAGAACATAGTCATCAAACCTGCTGTCGAGGGTACTACCAACGTTCTCCAAGCGTGTGTGGATGTGGGCGGGGTCAAGAGAGTGGTATTGACCAGCTCTGTCGCTGCAATCAGTGGTAAGTGATATCACCAAATAAAAGTAGTAATCTGCTTCTTCTCTCGTTTCTTTGATTTCTCGTATTTTATTTTATTTTCTTCATCTTGTTGTTCACCATCATCATCTTCTACTCTTTATTTCTTCTGCCTACTTCTCTTGTCCTTTTTGTATTTTTCCTTTCTTCATATTCCCATTGGTATTTTTGTTGTTGTTATTCGTCTTCTTCTTCATCTTATTTTACTTCCTCTTCCTCTTCTTTTTCTTCTTTTTATTATTTTGTCCTTCTTGTTTTTAATAATGTTTACATGTACATGTATATCTGTATTTGCATCAAGTCATCCATTTGTACTGTTAAGCTTTTTTTTTTTATTTTACCAGGCAAGCAGGACTATTTATTATATAATATGGACTGGCCTTGAGGGAGATACAACATATATTTCCCAAACTAGACTCATGTTGCCCCCGAGTCAAAGACGAGGGCAATATGGGTCTTGTGAGGGCAATATATGAGGTATTTCCCGAAAGTTAAGCCTGTCAATATTGTTATTGTTAGCCAAATCAGACATCTAGAGCAAATACATAAATCAACCATGACAATCTCAAAGATCTGAAGAAACTTTGTCAAACCAGCACCGTGCATCCAGTGCTTGACAAAATTTTCGATATTAATTGCGCCTCGAAATAGAATTTCTAGGTAGATGGCACTATAGAAATGCCTATTGATATTATTATAACACTGCAACCAGTGTGCCTTTGGTGTGATTATTACGTCACAATAGAGTACGCGCAAAATGTGCAGGTACTTGTACGCATAATAGATGCGCAATGAAAATGACAAAATACGGCGCAGTGAATATGAGACTTTATTTCCTCCTTTTTTAACACGTGAAGTCCATAGGCTTTTTCATGAGAGGGTAATATGGTCTTATATTTACTGATTAGCTCTTTTAGGATTACAAGAAGTGTAATATGATTTTGTAAAACCACTGCTCAGATGTCTGATACAGGTAATAATGATTGTTATTACAATTGCTCATCCTTTTATGAAAGCTTATTATTGTTTTTTTCTTCAAATACTTCATTCTTACCCAAACACAGGCTCATTTAAGATGTAATGATTTTCTTGTTCCTTTTTAGATTTAACAGAAACTAACACAGAACCCATTACAGAAGAAACATGGAGGAATATGAACAGCCCTATGGAAGATGCTTATGGGAAAAGCAAGGCATTAGCAGAGAAAGCGGCATGGGACTTTGTAGAGAAACTACCAGGTACATATGCAGATAGTCTTACATCATCTGTTTTGAGCCAGAAGGGTGTGAAGTCTGTGTTAAAGCATATAAGTTGATTCCATTCTGACTTGCAGGAGACATAATCGAGGGGTCAGTGACACAAAGACGTAACCCCATTTTGGCTACTTTGAGAAAAAGTGGTTTATGTGTCACTGAGCACTTGGGCCTTGAGGAGTTAAGCCTATGTTTCACTAGCCATTGACTTCAATGGGGTGTTAGGTAGAGTTAAGTCTTTGTGTTTCCTGGAAAGCCCACATTTTTCTGAACATTTTGATATCAAATACTCATTTTGGCAAATATGGAGTTACGTCTTTGTTTCACTGAACCCTCGATATATCCTACCAGGAAATGAACAGTTTAGTAAGGATATAAAAGTATAAACAAACATTTCTTTGGATTGTCAAATCATTCAAGTTTCTGAAGTCAGTACTGTTGCCGTGTACGATTGTACCGATTTAGTTATTTATAAGTCAAAGTATTTTGTTTCTGGAGATTCCCATGGAGTTCAAATTTCCTCTCTTTTTAAAAGAAGGAGATTGATATACGCATGGTGTAAATAACCATATATGTGGTACAACCTCAAATATTGACCTTTGCATATCCTATCTGTAGGATTGATTATGATTTTGGCTTATCTTTAAATCAATGTGTTACTATGTCGTACAAAACAAAAGTATCTGTATTGGTGCATGACAGGTGGTGGAGTATGCCAAAGTTTAATATGGGTCTTCATATTCAAAGTACAAAATAAAGAAAAAGAGAAGATAATCAATGCAAATGATCCTGTGAAAGAAAGTTTTCAGACTCTGTCTATACCAATCTTGCACACCATTCTTGCACGCTCTCTCATACCTGTTCAGCTGAATCCAAATTTGAGTTGGCTGTCATCAACCCATCCATGGTTCTTGGTCCTGTCATCTGCGGAGTTCCAGGAACCAGTGTAGAGGTGATCCGACGTATCCTAGAACGAGACCCGCCTGCCATTCCCAAGCTGAACTTCCCTGTATGTGATGTCAGGGATGTTGCTAAGGCTCATGTCGTCGCTATGACACACCCTGATGCACCAGGTATCAAAGTCACTACCAAGTTTAAATTCAAAATGCAGTTGAACCTGTCTTAAAGGTATAGACCAGTTTTGGAAAGGCCCCCGCCCCCTCTCAAAAAAATGAAAAGGTGATTATTTTAACAAATGGAAGCTATCGCGCCAAATGGAAGCTCTTCTTACCAATCATGTGAAAGAATATGTTTTGAGTAATACGTGATGATACAAATTTTGCCAGGAAACCGCCTACTAATTGATATATTTGGTAAATTATTGTATCTATCCAGACTGGATAGATATATCGTGTAGTCCCATATACATCTTTCTGTGAACAGTACTTGTAACTTTACCAAGACTGGGCCGAATTTGTTATCATTTTGATAATTCCAGAACTAGTATGCAGTACACACCAATACTTATATGCGAGATGATCGACCTTTTCTAATCGATTCCACAACGTTTCTTTCACAATGCAATCGCATGTCCAGAACTGGTCCTTTAACAAATGACCTTTTGCGACACGTTTGTCCTACTGACTAAACAAAGCAACTGTTATTTTGCTCAAATTTCACACTGTGTTTTTATTAGAATACAAAGTAACTTTTCCAAACACATAAATGCTTCATACATTGTAAATATGAACAGATATTAATTCTCTTAAGTCTGAACTACTAACAGTTCTGTTGTCAGATGTTTTCCTGTTAATTTTTTACACATTTCAGATAACCAATGGTACATTCACATTTTTCACTGTAGATGGATAAATTGTCTTACCTTCAAATTTAAAACATATTTAAGCACACACAACAAAAAATATAAACGTTTGTGAAAAGTCTGACAACTAGTTGGAAAGTTATTATTTCTTGTACATACTTAATGGCTGCAATCTATCGGTAGATGGACCAGTGTCTGAATCTTCTTTTGAAATGTTTTCTAATTTTTTTCATCTTTCAGGTCATCGTCATATCGTTTCTCCACACAACATGTGGTTTCGAGAAATGGCCGATGTTCTCAGGGAGGAGTTTAGAGACAAAGGCGAGTATCATTTTATTTCATTTCATGGTGAAAGAAACCTTGGCCATTCCTAAAGCATATTTTCAGAGATACGGTACTAAGAGATTATCCAACTGGTACAATTCATAAAACATATATAATAATTTATTGTGCAGAAGCTAATCAGAGTTGTAGCATGCATAGTGTAACATGAACTAGGGAGGCACATCTCCCTGCTGGAACACCAAAAGTATATACTTGCTGATATTTTTGTATAACATTATGTGATGTAATCTTTCTTATACCTGAATGACAAGTTTTGGTGTAAAGTGGCGTGATCAAAGTAGTATGGGTATATATACTACCGATTTAGCTCATGCTGCAATGATAATTATAATCCTTAAGATCAGTCAGGAACCCCATGACTTTTACAAGCCGATCGCCTGTCTGATTATCAAGATATTTATGATTGGAATTCGAAATTTAAAAATTACAGATAAAAAACGTTTTTCATAACCCTACAGTCTATTGGGGGAAATGAGTATGGTAAAACCAGTCACTCAAAGATTTTTACTTTTTTTAGGCACTCTATGATCATTTTGAAGCGCAATTTTTTTAGGGCTTCAATATCACACCATATCACAGACAGTGATAACACGTAGGGCCATGCATCTCAGATTTAACATTGTTAAACAATGCCTTTAATTGTTTTTGATTCCTGTATAGGTTACAAGCCCCCGAGTATGATGGCTCCACCTCTGCTTCTCAAGATGGTCAGCTGGTTTGATTCCACTGTCAAGTATATACTACCACTCCAGGGACATAAAACCACATTGTCTAATCACAGGGTAAATATCTACCATTATTTATACCCAGGGGCATTTCTAATGGGGGGGGGGGGAGGTGGGGGTTCAATGGGGGAACAAAATGTAGTTGAATTCACTCCTAATAGACCATTTTCATAATTTAATCAAATTGAATGCATACATCTTTGTTATTAGTGCCATGTTACGAAATATTTCATTCACCTCTTATGAATTGTATTTCAGGAGTCAGATTCAAATTGCATTCATTAATTGTTGCTAGGTAGGACACACATTTTGGCTTGTCCTACCTATAAGCATATAATGTATGCAATTCGCATACTGACTTTTGAAATACAGTTATTTATAACATGTGCATAAAACAATTTGTAACAAGTCACTTAAAGATTTGTGCATTAAATATGATTACATTACCAAAATGGCTTATTGTGCAATTGAAAAAGATTAATATTCTACTTTCTTGCTGCATCATAGTTTACTCCATCATGAATCCTTCTGATTTTATTGATTTTAGGATATCTTTTTCGTACCTTAAGGACATGAAATCTTACCTTCCAAATATATTATCAAGTTGACACTTTCTGTGTTTTTTTGTTGTTGTTGTAAATTGTATATAATAAATGTAGTCCAAATACATACAAAGTTGCAATTAATCGTGCAAATTTGTAGATGTTTTATTTAAAGTGGCATGATCAGATTAGTTTAAAAATCTAGAAGCTCTTTCAGAGCAGCAGAATCTTCAGAACATTTAAATAACTGGAGATACATTTTTTTTCTTCATGTATCTGTTCATGTAAATGCTTTATTTTATCTTGAAATATTTCATGTTCTCTAATTCATGTATCTGTATGTAAAATCATTTTACCAGCATCTCTCTGTGTCTCATTTTCTGTACCTACAGTTTGTTATTTAAACAAAAAGACAAGACAAGCTTTGCATTATTATGTCATCTTCAATCAACAAAAAGGAAATTCATTCTGTGAAATTTCTTCTTCTTTTAATCAGTTGACTGAAGTACTTGGCATCAAACCATACGAGCCCAAGGAATCGCTGATAGACATGGCTTACACCTGCATAGATAAAGGCTTCATCGTCAGGAAGAAACAATATGTCAATCCCAAGACTCAACAAACACAAACAACAGAGGGTGCTAGTGCTTCACCTTAGAAATCTGACTTGACCTACAGTGCAACTCAATCATACAAGTATTATACAAACCTTTTTTACAAAGCCTTTTGATTGATCATAAAGTTAATATTGAGCGTAAATCTATGGCTCATCAAGTATTGATCAAACTTGAGATCAATCATGACTCTTTATAATACGCGGCCATGATGTGATTATTATTTCTATGTTAGGAGCAATCATGATCGCAAGAAACTTGAGAAATCAACTGCAGGCGTTTTCAATAGCCTTGCCCAACATCTTTTGATTTATTTATGCAAAGTTTGCATTGCAAATACAGTCAAACCTGTCTATAGCGACCGCCCAAGGGAAACACAAAAAGTGGTCTTTGTAGACAGGTTCTTTAAAGGTACTATGTCCCTTTTGCAGCCAACCTCAAATTCTGTAGAATTCTTGTTGCAGGAATTATGAATATGTCATGTATGTCCTATCTGTGAAATTTAAACATTAGCAGTGTCCTCATATTCAAATTATGCAAAGAAACCCGTTTACTTGCTAGACTTCACTGTCAGACACTATTGAGTGACTGACTGGCTTTTTTTCTTCTTTGGTAATAACATACATGAAAAGAGTTGTAAAGGGTACATGAGCATTTGTCTACATCAATAACCCACTTCTTGTGATGGCCAAGATTAAACTGATTGAATCTTTGCGCAGCCTAAAACGTATGACCATTCGGTACAATTGTCTGAAAATCAAGACTATTACTTTTGGGCTCTATAGCCCTAAAGCCGATTTGACTACTAATAGTCGTTATTTTCCCACTTGAAGACATTTTCAAGCCCCACCTTTTTTTAGGGAAGTTCTAAATTAGTATTATCTTTCAAATGCAGTTGGAATTTAACTTTTTAATTTTTTTGGCCTGCAAATGGGACATAGTACCTTTAAGTACATGTTTCAATGAGAAACCATTTTCAAGGGAAACAAAAAATGTGGTCCTTGTAGACAGGTGGTCTTTGTAGACAGGTGGTCACTAAAGCAGGTTTGACTGTATTAGAATAACATGAAGTAATCAGAACATGATTCCTAAAGACAACGTGATTACCATATTGAGATTTTGAATTTGATAGGTGTCAGATTGCTTCATCATGTCTATCTGGAGTTTGGACAGCTGTAGTAGGTTTGTCAGTGTATAAAAAGTTCTTCTTCATATTCATATAGCATCATCTTCCATGAGATGGCTCATCAATGAATTTAATATAAAGCCTCAATTTGGTCTAACAGGTACTAATACATACACTAGTACTACTAATAATAATTGGATTTCTATAATACATACTAATAATGATAGCTCGTTCTTATATAGCACTTTTCAGGACCGCAGGCCCTCTCAAAGCTCTTTACAGATATATATTAATACCTGAACTGAGTGAAGGAAAAAAGCCCAAGTTTTTTTTAAGTGCATCAAATTTAATGCTATATATCGGTGTGTTGGCTCAGTCAGTAGAGCGTCCGCCTCACAACCAGGAGGTCGTGGCTTCGTACCCCAACCTGGTCATACCAAAAGATGTCAAAAGACGGGAGTTGCTGCTACCTTGTTTGGCGTTAGCAATAAAGGATAGAGCAACGTCGATCTGTCGCTGCTCAGCGGCTGAGCTCACGATCAATTGGGCAAAAAGAATTTCCATTTTTCGGTTTAACTCAATAAAATTTGGAGTGGACTTTAAAATATTATTATTATATTGTACATGTTTATTACCGGTATACAAGTTAGTTGGGTCACATAGCATGTATGCCGCTTGAGACAATATATGAGAAAATGAAAGTTCTTTTCTGATATCTGTTAAAGCTAGCCCTGATGTGCAATTTTGTTATTAAAGAGCAGCTGATCATTATGCATATAATGACAAATCACGGGAAGGATTTTACTAGCAATTGCCCCCTGTCCAGAACTTGTTTCTGAGTTGTATTGTTTACCTGTTATTTTGTATTTGGCCTGGATAACATACTGATAGATACCTTTGATATAGTTTAAACATATTTTAAGTTGCTGTTTGTTAAATTATGAAGAAGTATAACCGATTCAGGTGTTGTAGCATGTGCCAATTTGTAGTCATTGCTGCTTTTGAAGGTAGTGTCTGCTGCTATGCAACTCAGTACTTTTTAAGTTACTAATAATAATAATAGTTTGTTTTTTATATAGCGCTTTTCAGGACCAAAGTCCCTCTCAAAGCACTCTACAGATGTATATAATTACCCCAGTCATTGGATTTAGGCTTACCCGCAAGACAACGTATGCACATTCTCCACTCCCTGGGGAGCATTCCAGCCAGGTGTCATTTTTACAAGAGCACACTTGCTCTCGAACCATATTAGCTTTCGCATCGTACTGGGTACACAACTAACACCTGGGTGGAGAGTGGCAAACGTAGATCAATGTCTTGCCACAGGACATTAGTGCCGCGGTGGGACTTGAACCGCGGACCTTGTGATCCACAGTCCGGTGACATATCCACTCGACCACAATACCTCTACTATGTTAGTCTTTAATGCTGGGATGGCCTACTGTCTCTGATGATGAATAATTTGTAATTTCTGATAGATCTCTGGCCTTTATTATGGTATTAAACAACTCAGTAGCTGCCCAAAGTTTATTGGGTCTTCAGATTATTTCTTCACTTCATATCTGAATCTAAAACAAGGACCGAGTATATATGTATGTGAAGCCATGTAAACATAATGATATAGGGTTTATGAGTATGGTTTAGACAAATTGGAGATGAGCCAAATGGAATTGACAAAGATAAAATCAAGTGTTCTGTTCTCGTAGAGAGAGGTTTATCATTTCATCTTCTTGTTTTTATATGTTGTTGCTGTTTATTTTTGTGGAGGGGAGAGTTATTTGGTGTGGGTCCTCCCCTTAACCCCCCTCCCACCTCCATATTTTAAAGGGTACATGTAATTTTATTACGTGTAGGGTAGGTTTTCATTCCTCAGTCATAAAGGACAATGATTTATGTCCAATGATACCCAAAGAGGAGAGTCTTATGTCTATCTATTTCTATAAATGTGATATATGTATTTTCTTGAATATTACTGTAACACCATTGGAAACCAAATATCTATGTAACTTGTTTACAAAGACCAAATAAAATATCTTGTATCTTGTATCTTATTGATATTGTAAATTCTTGTGCCTTTTTCATATATTATAGATTTGTGACGTGCACGGTACTGCCCATTGTATGACAGATGGATGCACTGTATAGTATTATAAAGCCAGCCATTACATTCCTAAAGAGCATTAACAATGTGTGCACTATCTTCACTCTCTGCAGAGCATTTAGAAAAATAAAATGTGCATTGTACAGGGTAGAGAATTTACTTGAGATCAAGACATTAGAGGCCTTCACAAGTTTTCACTTGGTCTCGATTTAAAAACTTGTATGCAAATGTTTATGATGTTGTTTGACTATGATATGAATAACAAACAATGAATTGAATGTACTTTTGCCATCTATGTAGGCACATTGCATATGCCTGCTAATGCTATGCATTTTTGGGGAATTTTGCTGAAAGATTGCTTTTAAATTAGTGGTACTCGGAGTGGTTAATTGGCTAGACAACTTTCTGCACATTTAACAGACCAACACTTTTTGCCTGGTTAAGCATCTGGCATTGCCAAATTAATTGGTATTGGTAAATTATTTATAATTTTTCCTTTGATTGAAAACCTGTAAATGTATAATTTTTATTTTTTTAAAGTAAATGTTGAAATTTAAAGGTATTTGATTAAGTAAATGAGTGGATTAAGCCAAGATTAACTTTGAGAATATCAGCAAGTGATTTAAACAAGTAATATATTATGATCAGGTAAAAATTATGTATCAGTTACTATTTTTCAGGATTTGTGTTGTCGATATACATGTAAGATGATATAATGCAATTGATGACAGTCACTTTATCAGATCTGAATTGTTGCTTTACTAAAATTGTTATTTTACCCAAAAATTAATTTGATCTTGCCAAAAGTTCTTGATGATAAAAAGGTTAAATCCCCCATCGGTCTGTGGATATATTTTCTGTATAAAGCATTTTTTTAATTCTCTTATTATTTAATCTTCAATGTGTCTTTTACTTGACTGGTAAAATATTCTGAGTGTCTTTTCAGAATTTTTTGTATTCATTACTTGTAGTGTTAAGCAGTCCAAAGATATGAAGTTTTGTCCTGAATCAAAATTGCTACACTTTTCAACTCAAATCTGTTAATGTATGAAAAAATATAGTTCATATCGTGGATTGTGATCGAGTCAATCTATTAAAAATGTTGTATTGTATATTTTTGCACTGTCGGTTACATTGTAATTATTGAGAATAAAGTTGATTATCATTGATACACATGTTTACAAATAGAATGAACATTATGTTCTTCCTTTAAGACTACAGTGCATGGCAAAGAAGAGTTATAAAACAATAAGAGAGATCTGATGAAGAGAGAGAGAGAGGGAGAGAACGAGACAGACAGACAGACAGACCGTTTAGTCTAGATCAGATAGAAAGCAAGATGGGTTACTATACAAAACAAAAGGAGGAGAGACGTGAAGAAAATTACTCTCATATATATTTTCTTTTACTAATATCTCCTTTTGTATTAATTTTGTGTTTGTGTTTTTATAATATTCAATAAACTGCAACATGTACGGAGCATCTCACGCACGACAACATTTAGGCGAAAAAATGAGACAATATGAAAATATGTGTAAATGTATTCATGATGAAATCTGGACAGTTTATTATCAAAAACATACACAACGACTGAAAAGAGGTTCTCGTGAGTTGTAAAGAACTAATGAAAAGATATTATTCATGCACAATTTAAAAAGAAACGTTAAGTTTTTTTAAACTTTCATCCGCAAAAAAAACCATACCTACGCATTGGTTAAAACGAAAATCTAAAATAGCCGAGAGATATTTCAAATATAAATTATATGCATAATCTTGACAATAAATATACTAAAAACATGAGAAAATGAGAGCATGAAGTGGAAAATAATATAGCCGTTGTTTTATTATGCAGTAAAGAATAGGCTACATGAACTAATAAAATAACCTACTTCTGAAGAATCAAAGACCGTATGATACAGAAACTTTCATTGGTTAGGGTAATCATAACATTTAGTTCAAGCTTCTACCAACCTTTAAATTATGTAGGCAAGCTTTCGTCTATTACTGTGGACTTTCTCAAGCCAAGTTATTATTCACACGGTTTCTTGCTGTCTTTGATCTCGAGACAGCAATATAGTGCTTGGATAATTTATTGGATTGAGAAAGTCCGCAGGAGTGGACGAAAGCTTGACAGAAGCTTAAAATTCATGTTATTATGTTTTTATGCAGTCAGTTTATTAGTAGTCCCTTCTCTATCTCTTATGATATTCGTTTTTAAAGTAACAGCCTGGCATTGACATGCCTTGAAATGAGTACATAAAATATGTCACACAAGACAAACTATTATGTTTAACATTATATATACAGAACCATCCCAAAGTCCTCCATGTTTATTTTAATAAATGTACAATCAGAGGGCGTTCCTTAATCGCAATGTAACATAAAAACTCATGCATTAGATGCACTAAAATAATATGTATGTTCATGGAATGTTCTGAAACATTGCACTAAATGAAATCATTAAAAAACATAATATTCTTTATTTCTTATCTACTGTCTATGTTCTCTTATAATATAAGTTTAGATTAGTCAAGGGAAATGTTATTGCTTACAAACGCATTGTTTGAATGTACAAAATAGTGAGAGAAAAAAGTAATAAAACATCAGATTTTCTCATCGTGCATGATCTAATACTCATATAAAACTAAGAAAACGCGTTCTGAGACGCAGTTTATCAAAAACAGGAACATAGAGATGGCTGAGAAGCTGGCTAAAACATAAATAGGAAAAAGCTTATTTCGTCAACAACAATTAGGACACACCTTTGGCAGTGGGGGAGGGGGGGGGGGGGGTAACGTATCTTGCCCGAATATCATTTCCAGTTACACCTTTCCGAGCGAGCTAAGCTAAGCGAGTAAAAAAAAAACAAGACAATTTGTAATGACAGATTGACAGCGACAAAGTCATGTTGTCTTTAATATACAAATATAAAACTTTTTTTTTTTTTAAAGAAACACACCTCCAAGCCTAAATTTGAGCTGACGGCAGCTCGCATACGATTGCGCGAACATGGTTATTTAAACACTTTCCTGAAGATTTGCACGGTCGTAAGACATTTACATGCGCAATATTTAATAAGCGATACAAAATTATAACCTACAGACGCAAAGGAAATCGAAAATGTGTTTATTGTCTTTGATTTGAAGTGATTTGATTTTGAATATTGTGAATATTCAGATTAAAGAGTAAACGGTTTAAGGCACTAGGAAATCAGAAGAAAGAAACGTAGCATCATTGCGCCGCCTCACTTATTCAAACATTAATAAATTAATATTGCATGCATACATCTACAGAGAGAAAGAATTCTTTTTTTGTCTAATATTCATCATCATCTTCGGCCTCCTCCTCGCCATCGACCGAGTCCATGCCGACTTCTTCGTAGTCCTTCTCTAGAGCAGCCAAATCCTCACGAGCCTCGGAGAACTCTCCTTCCTCCATACCCTCTCCGACGTACCAATGGACAAAAGCACGCTTGGCGTACATCAGATCGAACTTATGGTCAAGACGAGCCCAGGCCTCAGCGATGGCGGTGTTATTGCTTAGCATGCAGACGGCACGTTGGACTTTAGCAAGATCACCACCAGGGACGACGGTGGGTGGCTGGTAGTTGATACCGACCTTGAAACCAGTTGGACACCAGTCAACGAACTGGATGGTACGCTTGGTCTTGATGGTAGCGATGGCGGCGTTGACATCCTTGGGGACGACATCACCACGGTACAGGAGACAGCAGGCCATGTACTTGCCGTGACGGGGATCGCACTTCACCATCTGGTTGGCGGGCTCGAAGCAGGAGTTGGTGATCTCAGAAACACTCAACTGCTCATGGTAGGCCTTCTCAGCCGAGATGACTGGAGCGTAGATGACTTGGGGGAAGTGGATACGAGGGTAGGGTACGAGATTAGTCTGGAACTCTGTCAGATCGACGTTCAGAGAACCATCGAAGCGTAATGATGCAGTGATTGACGAAACAATCTGTCCGATCAGACGGTTGAGGTTGGTGTACGTCGGACGCTCGATGTCTAGGTTTCGACGACAGATATCGTAGATGGCTTCGTTGTCGACCATGAAGGCGCAGTCGGAGTGCTCGAGGGTGGTGTGGGTTGTCAGGATGGAGTTGTAAGGCTCGACCACGGCAGTTGAGATCTGAGGAGCGGGGTAGATTGCGAACTCGAGCTTGCATTTCTTGCCGTAGTCAATGGACAGACGCTCCATGAGCAGGGAGGTGAAACCTGAGCCGGTGCCACCGCCGAAACTGTGAAACACCAAGAAACCTTGAAGTCCTGAACACAGATCAGCCTGAAAATATTAAGTGATTTTAATCAGTCAACCTTGTTTTGGGTGGGTCTAAAGAACTTTATGTTCATGACAACGGTGACGTCAGTTTGAATCAAAATACAAGTAGACGAAGGAATTTATTACGAAGAAAACATGAGCAGATGGGCTACATTGAAAGGAAGAGAAAAATAAGAAGAGGAGGAAAATAGGAAAGAGAAGAAAAGGTGAGGAAGAGAAGATGGAGGATGATGAAGAGTAAGGAAAATGGTGGGAGAGTAGGGGATGGTGGAGATTGCAAAAGACGAGGTGGAAGCGTAGGAGGATGTGGAAAGGGATGACGAATAGGAGGACGGTTGAGGAGGAGATGAAGGAGGAGATAAAGCGTTCATAGGAGCAAATTGAAAATTAGGAGGTATGAGGAGAAGGAAGTTGAGGTTGAGAAAGGAGATAAAGATTAGGAGAAAAGGAGAAGGGAAATGGGAGCTAAAGGATGAGGAGGAGGAAGCGGTTGTGATGGTGAAGGAAGAGAAGGAGAAGGAGACTGTAGGAAGTGGAGAAGAGGAAGGGACATGTTTGTAGCTGCGTCTGATCGGTAACTCGGTCATGTGGGGGGGGGGGGGAGGGGAGACCTCCATCGGTCCCATAAACCCAGATAATGCACAAACCAGGTCCCGATCATTTTCATCCATAACAGTGATATAACACCAGCTCTAATGGATTCTTACCAGCTTCCTGACTCTATCGAGGACGATATCGATGATCTCCTTGCCGACGGTGTAGTGACCACGGGCATAGTTGTTGGCAGCATCCTCCTTGCCGGTAATCAACTGCTCAGGACCAAAAAGCTGACGGTAAGTACCGGTTCGAACCTCATCTGGAATGAGAGAAAAAGGATGAAAGAGGGTTATGATTAATTCATTTACTAGGTGACGAAGGAGGGATGTGTGGATATGGAAATGTGTAAAAGAGAGAGAGATACATATAGGTAGGTTGATAAATTAAGAGAGAGAGAGAGAGGGGAGGGGAAGAAGAGGGAGGGAGAGTGAGAGATATGTATATATATATAGAGAGAGAAAGAGAGAGAGAGAGAGAGAGAGAGAGAGATATAGAATCAAATCTGATGGAGATGAAATAATGTTTTAAGGGGAAGGAGGGTTAATTGACGACGGATGAATTAGAAAGTAAAAGAAATGTGGAAAGAAAAAGGAAATACCGTATCTTAATGTAAACTCTAATTCAGCATTAAGTTAATAAGATAAACCCACATTACAATACTAAAGGCGAAAGTATTATTGTCACAACCATATTGCAGGCGCGGATCCAGGATTTCTTAGGGGGGGGGGGCCCAAATTTGAAATTATGCGAGCCAAATATTGGTACGTTATGGTGACTAACAGTGACGTAATGCGGGTGGAGGGTGAGTTTCCCCCTCCCAGGCTTTGACGTTTCATTATATTATTAGAGAAAGAAAACGATCCTTTGTACCGTTCTCGAAAATAATTCTCGTCTGAATTTAGTTTTTCTCCTCCCGCGCAAAGCGCGGAAAATTTTACGATTTATTAAATCATTAGATAAAGAAGACGATTCGTTGTACTGTTCTCGACTCTTAATCCTTGTCTAAATTCAGCCCCCCTCCCCTCCTGCGCGAAGCGCGGAAGCTTTGACGTTTTATTAAACTATTTAAGAAAGAAGACGATTCGTTGTACTGTTCTCGACCCTTTATCCTCGTCTGATTTCAGTTCCCCCCCCCCCCTCCCGCGCGAAGCGCGGAAGCTTTTACATTTCATTAAATCATTAGAGAAAGAAAACGATTCGTTGTACAGTTCTCGACTCTTAATCCTTGTCTAAATTCAGTTCCTCCCCCTCCCCCTCCTGCGCGAAGCGCGGAAGCTTTGACGTTTTATTAAACTATTAAAGAAAGAAGACGATTCGTTGTACTGTTCTCGGCCCTTTATCCTCGTCTGATTTCAGTTCCCCCCCCCCTCCCGCGCGAAGCGCAGAAGATTTTACGTTTCATCAAATCATTAGAGGAAGAAAACGATTTGTTGTACAGTTCTCGACTCTTAATCCTTGTCTAAAATCAGTTCCCCCTCCCCCTCTTGCGCCAAGCGCGGAAGCTTCTGCGTTTCATTAAATCATTAGAGAAAGAAGACGATTCGTTTTACAGTTCTCGACTCTTAATCCTCGTCTGAATTCAGGTTCCCCCCTCCCGCGCGAGGCGCGGAAGCTTTTAATCTTCATTTAATCATTAGAGAAGAAGACGATTCGTTGTACAGTTCTCGACTCTTAATCCTTGTCTAAATTCAGTTCCCCCTCCCCCTCTTGCGCCAAGCGCGGAAGCTTCTACGTTTCATTAAATCATTAGAGAAAGAAGACGATTCGTTGTACAGTTCTCGACTCTTAATCCTCGTCTGAATTCAGGTTCCCCCCTCCCGCGCAAAGCGCGGAAGCTCTTAATCTTCATTTAATCATTAGAGAAGAAGACGATTCATTGTACCGTTCTCGAAAATAATCCTCATCGGAATTCAGTTCCCCCTCCATCCCGCGCGAAGCGCGGAAGCTTCTACGTTTCATTAAATCATTAGAGAAAGAAGACGATTCGTTGTACAGTTCTCGACTCTTAATCCTCGTCTGAATTCAGGTTCCCCCCTCCCGCGCAAAGCGCGGAAGCTCTTAATCTTCATTTAATCATTAGACAAGAAGACGATTCATTGTACCGTTCTCGAAAATAATCCTCATCGGAATTTAGTTCCCCCTCCATCCCGCGCGAAGCGCATAAGCTTTTACGTTTCATTAAATAATTAAATATTCGTATTACCGTTCTCGCCTCTGAATCCTCGTCTCAATTCAATCCCCCCCCCCCTCCTCTCCTCCTGCGCGAGGCGTTGACGTTTTATTATTAGAGAAAGAAATCGATGCGTTGTACCGTTCTCTATACTCTCTAATCATTGTCTGAATTTCAAAGATGTTCTTTGTCTGCTCCTTTTTCTTCCTACGTCCTCTTCCGATTGGGGGAGGGGACCCCCCCCCCCCTGGCTACGCGCCTGCGGTCAGATAAACACATCTTGATACCTTGTCCGACCCCGCGAGCTCAGGGGTTTAAAGGTAAAGACCAGTTATGGTCATGCGATTGCATTGTGAAAGAAACGTTGTGGAATCGATCAGAAAAGGTTGATCATCTAGCATCTATAGCATCTGCAAGGTTCTGGAATCATCAAAATGATAAGAAATTTGGCCCATTCTTCGTAAAGTTACAAGCACTATACACAGAAAGATGTATATGGGACTACCCTATATCTCTCACAGACCATGAGAGAAACAAATTTACCAAATATATGAATTAGTAGGCGGTTTCCCGGCAAATTTGTTATCATCATGTATTAGTCAAAACATATTCTTTCACAAGTCATGATAGGTAATGAGAGCTTCCATTTAATTTTTTTGAAATTGGGGCGTTTCCAATACTGGTCTTTACCTTTAAGGCAATAAATTACGGTCAGATAAGCATTCAGGGGCCCGCCTTAGGGCCCCTGGTGGGGTCGAGGCGGCGGAGCCGGCCCCGGAAGCTCAGGGGCTTTAGGCGTTTAATTAAGGTCAGATGAGCATATTTTTGTGTATACCTTATTATTTTGTGACACTGGCAAATCACTATTTGGCGTGGGGTCCAGGGGGCGGAGCCCCAAAAAATCAGGGGTTTTAGGCATTACATTACCGTCAGATGATCATCTAAGGGCCCGCCGTAGGGCCCTAGATGGAATCCAGGGGGCAAAGCCCCCGGAAGCTTAGGGGTTTTAGGCATTTAATCTTGGTCAGATGAGCATATTTTGATGCCTCGAGGATCTCGATCCCCGTCGTACCTCGGGCCCTGACATTTAGGAATCTCAAGAATCATATTTTTTGCCTGGTTGTAAATTTAGGAATTTTTTTATTTTCCAACAAACACATACAAACGTATAATTTACTAAAAAGTGAGGAAAAATTTCGGAAATTATGTCATTTCAGCATCATTTGTAATACACCGTTGTGGAATCAGAAATAAACCACGTTTGAATTTGATTTCCCCCAAGCCCCCCCCCCCCCCTCTATCAGTACGCCAGTATCTCCTCTTTTCCTTTTTTTCTTTCCCTTTCCTTCCTTCTCTCTTATTTTTTTTTATTGGGGGGGGGGGGGTTTACAGCCTGGGAGGCAAGGCCCTTTCGCCCCCCCCATCTCCTTCTTCCCCCTTTACTTTTCTTCTTCCTCTTCTTTCTTTCCCTTTTTCTCTTTTTTCCCTTTCTCCCTTCTTTTCCTTCTTCTCTCTTTTTTTTTTTTTTTTTTTTTTTTTTTTGCGGGGGGGGGGGGGGCCAAGGCCCGCTCGGCCCCCCCCTGGATCCGCGCCTGCCATATTGATATTAGATATCATAACAGCACATTAAAGCGAGAGTAAAGCTATTCACAGGTGTATTTTACGAGGTGTATAGTATATATTTGATTACTTTCACTGATGCATAAACAGGAACTTTACAATGAAAACACACGCATAGACATCCATCGCCTTCGGTCCTATAATTTTTCTCGCGTAATACTAAATTAAGCAATGTCATGTTATGGAATGTATGTAGTCCTTTATGATACACAAGCAGGTGATATTTTGATCGCTACCATTATCCTGCTATCGATCATAAATGGCGGGAAAACAAAAGTCCGAGGGTTTTGGCATTAATATTGCGAGATACATAAAATTTCACAACTCTCTCGTTATATTTCTTCCCGTATAACCTTGTTTAATACAGGAAGATATCAAATGAGCTCCATAGAGTATGTATGTAGGTATACATTGCATTAATATTTACTTACATCAATATTGCCATGGAGTCTATAAATTGTTTTCTATACTGTCTAGGGTGCTTTGTTCTATTTTTCATGTTTGTAATAAATCACTGTTCGAGGAAATCAAATGTGATATTCTTCACAAATCTCATGTGGCGCAAAACTAAACAAAATAATAACCCCCTCCCCTACCCCCCCCCCCAAAAAAAAAGTTGTCTTCCTGTATATAATAAACTCTACTCACCCTACTTCTATGTGTATGGTCTGATTGATGTCCTGCGTCCTGACAAAGCGCCCGCCCGCCCCCCCCCCCATTGGCTAGACCACGACAATTGGTGTCAGGAGTGGGATTCGAGCCCTGCGCCCCCACTAAAAAAAAAAAAAAGGGGGGGGGGGTCAGTGAGTGCATTACAGCAGCTCACAAGCTACTTGGTCAAGCGACTTTCGCCAAGTAGGGGCGCAGCCTCAGATTAAAAATGTATATGTTACGGCTCCTCAGGCAGCCAATTTCCATCAAGCCCCCCCCCCCTCCCCCCCCCCCCCATGCACTCCCTCTATTATGTTGTAATTTGAGGTACACACTGTAGGCCGTATCAACTCTTTGGTTGCCTCCAATCTATCAAGATTACATCACATTGTAATAATTACTTCATGAAAAGAAGTCAAGAGAATGTATTCCAACTTTACGGGCAACAGAGACTTGTCTTACAAGACTTGTCTCTTGTATGATATATTCTTTGCATATCGGCTTTGCTGATATTATAGATGAGTGATATTGGTTTTGACACCATAGGCCTGTACCATATACAGTATATTTATATGATAACGGACTGGGATTTCTAGATTACATTATGTATGACCTAGGTCCTGTATCACAGTAGCTCTCTGTGAAGTTTAAAATCTAAATGTTATTGACATAGTTGTGATATTGTATACTGTTGGGTACTTAGACAAGGCCTGTCTCAAGTGCTATTGAGGCCACGTAAAACCGATTCCCAGTTTCTCGCCCAGAGTTTCGAATATGACGAGCGGGGGGGGGGGGGGGGTTCCATGATATTTTATGTATATATTTCTGAATATATTTCAACACAAATTTCCCTAACCATATTTCATTTGTAAATACACTTAAGAGGCTCAAAACAATGTGAAATTCTGTTATTTCATTGTCTAGATGTCTTCAGATTGTTATCAATTTTTATTTCAAAATAAAGATACGAGGAGGCGCGATAGCTCATTTGGTATAGAGAGCAGTGGTCTCGTAATCAGGTCACCCGAGTTCGAAACCAAGGCGATGCGCTAGTGTCCTTTGGTAAGGCATTAATCAATAAGCCTTATTACCAGGTCCCTCGAAGAGGACCTAAAGCCGTCGGCCGTCTGGTTGCTTACTTAAAAGTATTTATGCTTTCTTAGCAGTCAGGTAAAATAACCACCACCATTCACCACCACCAGTAACAAAAAATAAAGGCGGTCGAGAAAGGGAACGAGGAGGGGACGGGAAACTAGAAATCGATTTCATTTAGCCAACATTATTCTTCGAATCAAACATACTAATTTATAACGAACGGCTAAAAGTTAAATTACTCCAAAGTAAACACTATAGGTATAAACGGTAGCTGTGTATATAGGATTTGTTATGACCTGTGTACTGGTAAATTAACGGACGATAACTATATGAAAGCTCAAATTACATTTTGTTAAAGCCTAATTTATATACAAAACTATTAACTGGGACCTACATAACACAAGCGTTGCTCTTTAGTAGATCCCCCACTTTATTAAGCTTTTTGCGATGTATTTATCATACTTATGATTGTATCTTATGTTATAACTATTATCATGTACATTATGTTTCTATAGTGTATGTTTTGTTCTAATTATTACCATGTTCATTATGTTCAATAATGTTATCTTCGATAAAAGTGGAAATAAATCAACTTGAAACTTGAAACTATTCTTTAGTAGTTTTTTTTAAGTGAGACTTAATATATTGCAGGAAAGGGAATGGAGAGGAGAAGGAGATAAGTATTATGTGAAGGAGAGAAAGGGAGTGGGTATAGATGAGGAAGAAGCAATAGAGGAGAAGAGGTGTATTGGAGAGAGGTATACAGAGAATGAGAATGTATCAACTCTTTGTAATTCATTGGTGCAAAGCTAAAAAAAATAAACCAGCGAAGCAGCCGGATCGTATATATTATATACATGTATATTTTATTCGACGTGTTTTAATTAGTCTATGAATAATTATCATTGTGATTATGACATCTTTGTGGGAAGAAAAGAACAAGTAGACAAATTATTTGTTGTTACACTGTATTTATAGTTTGGAAGGAACTATATCATATATCGTTTTTTCGTTCCATTGTTGTTGTCATGCTTTTGCGCATGCTACCAAAGTTATGATTTCTCGTTTCCATGGGAACCGGTAACAGATGTGCTGGAAAATTGCGTGTACTACACGATTTTAATACCCTAATGAAAGGTGATAGTCGCAAATAAAAGGATTTTAATCTAGAAGACGACACGACTTGGAGATATCAGACGATAACGGCATAATTTCTCACGTAATTCTAAATAATTTAGAACGTTGACAAAAATTAAGTGCCTACGTACTATACTTTGAATAGAACGAAAGGGAGAAAAGGAGGGAGAGAGAAAGGGGTATATACAGAGGGTGGCTTTTTATAAAAGCAATAACAAAAGGAACATAAGAAAGACAACAATTAAACTTAAGAAGAGGTATCACCCCTTTAGAAGCACAAACAATCAAATAAAACATTAACGATGGCGTGATTTTTAAACAAGAAGAAAAGAAAAAAGAAACGTCATGAAATGAATCGGAAAAGATAGGAAAGCCATGGACAAAGAGAGAGAGAGAGAAAATGATGATAACACCAACGTTAGAAGGTGAAAGAGAGAGAACAAAGAGAATGACTCATCAAACGTTCTAAAATATAATGTACATGTACCAGCATGCGTTACCAGGCGAGTAACTCCATGATCTATACCTATACTTTCCTGTCAACTCGATCTACTTACACCATTTCATACCATAATCTCCTGGGGCTTTTTTTCTTCAAATTTCGAGTAATTTTCATGAAATATAGAGTCGTTTAAATATGGCAGGAAAAGAAACCACGATCCAAGTTGACTTTGAATGCCCTTTGTCTTCCAAAATACATACATTAAATAAAAAAAGAGGAGAAAAGGAAGGTGGAGAGGAAGTAGGATGGGAAGAAGGAGAAGAAGAAGAAAAGGGGGAAAGGAAGAAGAAGAAGGAGGAGGAGAAGGAGAAGAAGAAGGAGGGGAAGAAGGAAGAAGAAAAAGAAGAAGAAGAAGAAGAAGAAAAAGAAGAAGAAGAAGAGAAGAAGAAGAAGAAGAAGAAGAAGAAGAAGAAGAAGAAGAAGAAGAAGAAGAAGGAGAAGGTAAAAGGAGGATGGGAAGACTTTGAATGCCTTTTGTCTTTCAAAATACATACATTAAATTTTTTAAAAAAGAGGAGAAGAGGAAGGTGGAGAGGAAGAAGGATGGGAAGAAGGAGAAGAAGAAGAAAAGGAAGAAGAAGAAGAGAAAGAAGAAGAAGAAGAAGAAGGAGAAGAAGAAGAAGGAGAAGAAGAAGAAAAAGAAGAAGAAGAAGGAGAAGAAGAAAGAAGAAAAAAAGAAGAAGAAGGAGAAGGAAAAGGAAGGGAAGGAGAAGAAGGAGGAGACGGGTATAGGTGAAGGAGATGGAGAGGGAGAAGACAGACGAAGAAGAATAGAAAGAGGAAGAAGAAGGAGGAAAGAAGAATACAGAAAAAGAAAGAAGAAGAAATGAAAATGAATACAAAGTAGAAATTCTGGATCATTTCTTTTTTTTCAGAACGCTTTTGCAAAGAGGAATCACCATGACAGCATGAATACGATGTTATTGTACTTATTTGAAGTACAATCCTGCTCATCATCATTATCTCGACAAACATTTGTTACATGTAAGAATAACGTGAGTACACAAGGGGGATCAGTACGAATCGATCTCGGTGTCGCAAAGTGCCCTCTTATTTACGGGTGGATTAACTAGATAAACAGGGGAGGGATCGCTGTATGTACCGGTGGATTAAGGGATTAGCTAAGCCATTGTCCTCAAATGGACTCAAGGGACCACTCGCAACTTCTTTCTGCAAACAACCTCGAAATGAATGAAAGAGTTGACTTTTAGCGCCGACTTGATATCAATAAATGAGATAAAAGAGACTCTTGTAACGGATGAAGCTCCCGTGTTTTATGGACAATTTACAAGGTTGTTCATATCTCTGCTTTGTGTTGTCAACAAGCCCTTGTGAAAATTGGCCGTTAGCCACTTCAAGTCAGAAAGACACGGAGGTAAAGGGATGTTTTAACTTGTCACAATATGGCAGGGGTGGAGGGAGGAGGGGGGGGGGGCACTTCGGAATTGATAATTAAAAAAAAACTACAATTAAATTATGGAGACGGGAAATGAAAAGGGAGGAAATCATTCGTACAGGTATATACATATTATACATACACACAGAATCTTGCAGATAATAATAATTAAGTAATATTAATGTTGAGATAAGAATGTTAGGTCAAGGCGAGTCTACATTTCTCAAAATCTGGGTCCACATTTTTAAAACCGGATCGAAGAAAGATTAGGTTTTGACAAAATTCAGCGTAATGTGAATTTGCTTCACACAACTTATACTACCTGTAGCATTACGTCTTGCTAAAACATTTTTTTTTTTAATTGCCGTCTACAAATAGGATGCCCCTTTTCTGTTTGTAATCATTTACAAAAGCTATTAACAATATTTCCTTTTGGAAGAGTAGGGTGAAAATTATGCTAAAGGACTACATGAGATTGTCAATGTCTCTCAAAGATGAATGGATGAATGGAATGAATATGCAAAATTAAAATTTATCTTTAAAGGACACCGCCCCTCCCCCCCCCCCCCCCATTTCATATCAAAATCATAATACCACCAACCTATGCAATTACTCATGTACACTCTGGTCATCATAAGCCAAATTCAGCTATTACCAGCGGGGCATTTCCGTTATTTACAGCTGCCTTTTGCACTATAAACTGGACTAGATTTACGCTTCCACTCGCATTTTTGTCACTGGTCATCGCATATCGCTTTTTTTTAAACTTCTCTTTTCGAACATGGCAGGAGGCTTTATTTCGAAAACACATGCTATATCGACCGCCGTTTTGGCTATGAGATTGAGCATTCTTTACACGGCCAATATCATGATGCAGAAGAGAATCGTTGTTTAGTCATTTAAAAAAGTGAGCATTGGTTCAGGCCTTCAGGGTCAAATGAATATTTGTATGCATTTTTTTAGATTTTGAAGCTCAGAATATTTGTAATGTCAAATCAAATGAATGTGTAATAATATATAGAACATGTATAAAAGTAAAAGAAGATGAAGAGAGATAGAGAAGGGGAAGAGGAGAGAGAGAGAGAGAGAGAGAGAGAGAGAGAGAGAAATAGAGGAGGTAGAAGAATGCGGTTAATAGAAACAGAAAGATGAGCAAAATGATAGGAGTATAATGGTACAATCAGCTGATCAGTGAGATGGTGAAAACACAGGCATAAAGAAAAAAAGGGGGAAACCCATAAAAAAAGGATAATCGTCATGCCAAAGAGACTATTCCTTACCAATAACGGTTGGTTCTAGATCAACATAAACAGCTCTTGGTATGTGCTTTCCAGCTCCAGTCTCACTGAAGAAGGTGTTGAAGGAGTCGTCACCACCTCCGATGGTCTTGTCTGAGGGCATCTGTCCATCGGGTTGGATGCCGTGCTCCAAACAGAACAACTCCCAACAAGCATTGCCCATTTGGACACCGGCCTGGCCGAGATGTAGTGAGAGGCATTCACGCTAAAATATAAAAAAAAATAGAGAGCGAGAGAGAGAGAGAGAGAGAGAGAGAATAAGTGCACAGATGTGATAATTTCATATTTTTAAAAGTTTTCTTCTTTTAAGTTTGAGACGAAATGATTGTGTGTTGCAAAAGATAGTAATCTATTTCATTCATCAAATGCTTAGTTATAAAAGTAGTGCGATGCTTGCAAATATCTATAAACTTCATTTCTATTCTCGAATGAATCACTATCCAGAGAAAAAATAGAAGAGCAATGACAAAAATATAATATGTGTTTTGCTAGAAAACCTTAAACATAGTGATTGTCATTCATCTTGTCTAAAAAAAAAGTTTCATTACATTCATTTGGATCTTTCCGTTTGACACACACATTCTTATTCTGTAAAAGCGAAGCGATAATTGTGAATATTTGTTCATTTCTATAGTTGAAATTATTCATTTTGTGTTGATTTATTAAATCAAATTCATACTGCATATTTCATTTTCTATAATTTGGGCTTATACCATAGTGTTTGGTGTTTGTGAATAACTAGCGCCTTTAAATCTCATTCACAATTAGACTGAATCCATAATCACAGCTCAAGGTCTATCAAAAGATATCAACCGTCATGTTATCGCGAAAAATCACAAAAATGCAAACATGACGGGGGCAGGAGACGCGATTTAAAAAATCGAAGTTCACTTCCAAAAACTTAAATGATTATTGTCTGCACGTCGTTGTCATGGTGATACTATACAACCTAGCTTACAATAACCATACTTCGGTATACTTCGCTACCACGTGAATACTACCTGAAGAATTAGCGTGTGAAGTGTGGAATCAAATGATGTGATGAAAATCGATGAATGTGATGAAAATCTATAGTGAATAGGTGCTTTACAAAAAATCAATCTTGCAATGATAACGGACAGATTGTTGGGCTGGCAAATTCCATTGATTCACGTTTTCCCACGACCAAGGTGAATGCTTTCACATATCAGAGAAACTCATGACAACGATTTTCGTCAAATTCACAAAAGCCCGATCTTAAACATTTTCTGAGCGAACTTTGCATTTTCATCGATCCCCAGTTCCGTTTGTGTTAGTCATATTTGCATTTACAACAATCTCAAAATTGCAAACTCTCCATAGTTGCAACAAACGGATGCAAATATATGTTCGCAAGTTTCATAATTATCATGTTTTAAAAAAAAATATCAACAATGTTTTCGATAAAGCGATTTTTGCACAACTCATCAGTGAGTCAACTTCAAAAGGAAAATATCAATTCTAAAAGACCTTTCGGCAGAATAGATACTGGTCTAATCAAATAATTATAAATTTATTATTAATTTTGACCTTGGCAGGGAGAGTAAACTCAGTAATGAAATACACAGTACTTTAAAGCAAGAAAAAACTTGGCTTCTGATATTTTTGTTTATTCAACCAGTAATTCATCAAGAATAATCAAAACTTACCATTCTGTCCTTTGGAAGAAAGTTTCTAATCTAAGAAGCAATGGTCGAATCGACGACAAGGCAGTGTAACCAAACCTCTTGTATTCCTCCGAAAATTCAGTCACTCCTAGACGAACGTACACACCTTTTCTTTTTTTGAGGTAATTCTTGTTTTCCTCGATTTATCGACTTTTCAATCACAGTTAAAAAAGAGTAGATTTTGAAAATTGTTGAGAGAGCTCTCACAACCAAACAATCAAGGAGTTATGGTGAGACCAAATGATAGTGCGATCGGCGCTATCGGGTCTTTTATATCGGCACGCGCTGTCGTCTGCTCGCTACGACGTGTTACCTAGGAACAAGGCGTGAACATAGTAACTCCCAGTGAAACGGCCAGGCAACGAATAATGGTCGTGGCAGATTTCAAAATTGGTTGATGCAAGGACCTTTTGTTTGAAGTATACGGTCATAAAAGAAAAAATGATACAGAGTATACTCCAATCACTTTGCTGGTCAGGTGTTTATGCGGAAATGTGCTACCAGCAGAAGTAGGTTATCTTTGTAACATGTAAAGAAAAAAGCTAACGATTTTACTAAGCTCTAAAGCTGTTTGTATAATAGTATTTTCCTCGTTTATATCACCCTTCTTAGCGAAGCACAATCAGGACAATAGTTGGTGCTCCCACGATTCTACGCATTCAACTAAAGTTCATCATCATGATAACGTTTCTTTGTAAACTTATCAAACGCCTTTTTGTTCTTTTATTCTTTTTAAAATCACGATGTTTACAGGTAAAAGTGAAATCTCACGGAGCTATAAGTGTTGCGAATATTTATCTGTAAGACCCATATTAAACGCAACAATGACACAATATGAAAAGCATCTATATTCTCAAATGCTGCAAACTTTATGCACCATAATCTGATGTTCAGAACACACTTCTAGCCTTTATAAAGGTGACCAATCAACTTATTCCATAATTTTTTTTTTCTTAAAAATGATGTTATCAATTACACATTTTGCTTGTATTACTAAACAGAATACGAAGGAATTAGAATTTCATTAATTTGTCAAAACTTGACGTAAGAACTATATGTTCATTTTCATAAATATTATGTCGCACAAATTGAAAATGTAATTTTGTTGGTTCCACATTGTTTCTGAAATTTTCAATTCTCCTTCGGTTTCTTTCAATCTATGTTCATCTCGGAAAGTACTCCCACTTGAAATGAAATAAACACATCACGTATAGTGATATACCCCCTTCTAAAGGTAAGTGTTCTTAATTTATATACCCAAATTTCATATTGCATTAAATCGTGACGCGATCACTTTTTAAAATCGGGAGTAAAGAAACCAATGCAAATGTTTCGGCAAAGTTGAGCAAGAATTTGGGTTGATATATATATGCCATCATAACTTTACATACACCGACAAAACTATCTATACAGACATAAGAATAAAATAACAATGTCCCCAAAAAGTAGCGCTGATACTTCACCCAAGTTTCCAAATAGTTATACATAAAAATCTGAACGTATTATAGCAAATTTGCTTGATATTGAAGTGAACGCTAGTGAGAGATTCTAGGAATACTTCAAAAACCTACTTCTTAACTTTGAATTTCATATCTTACTCAATTTCTTGTCAACTAATTGAACCTGGAGTCTCTACTACAAGAAACTGCTTTTCTTTGAAACGTTGGTTCACCTGATTTTCTCAGTTTGTTAATGTTTGGAGAGGGATTTAGATCCTTGCTGGTAGGATTAATGTATCTGCAGCTTGGGACACGATACTGTTCACAAACATTAATGTCGCTAATGTATTCATTGATGGGCACTACCTACTAATCTCTTGTACAAGCATGGTCATGGTGGTACCACATCAATTCAAGTATGTGTATCCTAGCTCCCACAACCGCAACGACACGTTGCAAAATAAAATAAATCAATATGGCAGGTAAACCTCAGGCAAACTTAATGCCGTCGCGACGCCTTAAGAACAACTGTTTTGAAGAAAAGCGTAACATTATATGTACTCAATGCATCAGTAAACTGTTTGTGTAGAATTGTTAAATTATTTTTCTACAATTTTGAATAAATACTCGTTCTAAATTTCATAGTAAGGTAAAAGTCAGAAAAAAGTCTAAGAACACAAGGTAATTATAGAAAGTTTATTATTGCCAATTCGCCTAATACTTTTAAAATCAATCTTTAAATCGACCCGCCTTCGTGATGATGTTAGTGCACTTGTTGCCACCCTGCAGTCATGGGGGCGTCACCCTCCTTAGAATGGATGCTCTTGTTCGACACAATTGTGTGAAAGATCTTCCACTACTAATAGCAGAGCATGATAAAGACCAATGCACAGTTTGATAAATCTGAAATGGATTATTTTTATTCCAGTTTCTTGCACAAGTTCTGACAATGTGCAAACAAAGTGATTTAATTGGATAAGCGGGGGAAAATCTACAAATTAGTTTTCAAGTGTAAAAGGAGCCCACTAAAAAGATCTGTCAGTAAATGATATATAAACATATCATATAAGTAGATGATGACGCACACAATATTTTACAAGACTGTAAAAGAATCCTTCTCGTCATGACTAATTGATTCTGATTGGCTAACACATCGCGCCGTTGCCTAGCGACCACCTGTTGTTCTTTGAAGCTGGTCGTCTGGTAGAGTTTCTGTCGCCAAGATTGAGAGCGCTTTATATCACTTCATATAGCACTGCTATACTCAATATATTTCACGCCACGAACCCTGTTTCCTTTCCACTTTATTCCATTAAAGGTAAAGACCAGTATTGGAAACGCCCCAATTTCAAAAAATGAAATGGAACTCTCATTACCAATCATGTGAAAGAATATGTTTTGACTAATACATGATGATAAAAAATTTGCCGGGAAACCGCCTACTAATTCATATATTTGGTAAATTTGTTTCTCTCATGGTCTGTGAGAGATATAGGGTAGTCCCATATACATCTTTCTGTGTATAGTGCTTGTAACTTTACGAAGAATGGGCCAAATTTCTTATCATTTTGATGATTCCAGAACCTTGCAGATGCTAGATGCTAGATGATCAACCTTTTCTGATCGATTCCACAACGTTTCTTTCACAATGCAATCGCATGACCATAACTGGTCTTTACCTTTAACATCTTGTTTCTCTGGGTTAATGGTTTGTGAAGTCAGAATAATGGCACCTTATCTACAGCCTACTAGATGCAAAGTTTGATCGTTGAATATTAGAATCGGGCAATGATAGCCTTTAAAATTTTGCCACCCGTTCCTAATAACAAAAGTTATTGTCTTGTGTTAATCAACATGATTGATAGATGAGATCATGAACTCGCCTTATCATAATCAGGTATCTGAGAAACAATTCAGCGTAGATGGAGACATCATAATATTCGACAACAAACATGTACTTTTTAATAAATGGTATCACCATCGTCATCATCACCATCATCATCATTGGCATTATCATTGTCATCTTCATCATCCTTCTCATCATCATCAACCACATTATTATCATCATCATCATTATCATCATCATCATCATATCATCATAATCCTCATCGACGTCGTCGTCATAATCAACATCAAGTACTACCGTTCCCCTCGCCCTCTCATATAGTCGTAATAACTACCAATATCACCACAGACACGGCATACTCCACCACACCGCTAAAAGCTTTTTACTCTTCGCCCCATTCTATCATTGTATTATTTTTTGCATTTAATGTATTTTACTTTGATTTCATCATCTTTGCCATCATGTATCTCGAAATGATACATGAGTTAGTGATGTAGATAGTTCTTTTTTTTTTAAAGAATTGCAACACATACACGCACACCATAAATAAAGAACATTTGCTAACATGAGTAATGGAGTGTTATTAGTCAGACACGAACCGAGGATTGTGGCGCTAAATGTACATTTCTAATCAGTGCCCTCACTGGATTTCGAAGCTAGAATCGGTTAATGACATTGACGTCATGTAAATTAATGGATTTACTTGGCATACGTGATAATTCTTTTGTCTTGATTTGACCTTTAAACAAACTTCATCATACTACACACAATCTGCGGTACAATGGCTCTTGAGTCAATGGAAGGGGGAGATAATGTATGCACTTTGACACATAGTATGAGTAGATTCAGAATCTAAAGTACACAAATCATATCAATGAAGAATGTCTTATTACATGAGAAAAATGAATTTTGTAACTAGCATGATCAGTTCAAATTGTAAAATGGGGAATATGTGCTGAACCTCCTTTGGGAGACGCATCCTCCGGAAAAAGATCAAAGGGGTAAAGAAGGGGAGGGGGGAGAGAAGGGGAGGGGGAGGGGGAAGGGGGGGGGGGGGGGGTGAAAGTTATGATTAAACCTAATACGATTCACAATTTCACTAGGATAATAATCATGAAGTAGTGAAGCACATTAGGCACTTCCAAATCCGTACTTTATACACGAGAGGTGACGAAATATACATAAAGAAGAACGATGCAATATCAGAGAATTTATTTCCAAACTGATGTTTTTATACACCGTACTGATATTGGATAACACTGTCGTAAACGGTTCTAGGACAACTACCCCCTGGACATCCATCCCCCGGATAACCACCCCAGTCAGCTACCCCCTAGGACAACTACCCCCTAGGACACCTACCCCCTAGGGCAACCACCCTCTAGGACGACTACCCCTGGGACAACTCCCCCCTACGACAACTACCCCCTACGACAACCATCCTCTAGGACACCTACCTCCCCCGGACGACTATCCTAGGGCTATTTGTCCGGGGGTAGTTGTCCGGTTTGGTTGTCTGGTGATAGTTGTCCTAAAGGGGTAGTTGTCCTTGGGGTAGTTGTCCGGATGTAGTTGTCCAGGGGGTAGTCGTCCTAGAGGGTGGTTGCCCTAGGGGGTAAGTGTCCTAGGGGTAGATGTCCTACAGAGGGTTATTGACTGGGGGTGGTTATCCGGGGGTAGATGTCCAGGGTGTAGGTGTCCGGATTCGGTTGTAAACGTATACAAGTTAGAACCAGGAGAGCATATGGCGCGATACAATCAATGACTTAGGCCACGTGTTCGATGGTCATGCAGCTTGATGTTGTTCAATGACTGATTTAGCTCAGTAGACGGCAAATAGCCT